GTTCCCATACTACAGAATTAATAAAACAAAATTTTTTATTAATAAACAGAAATGAAATGTAAAAGATCGATAATTTACGCACTTTCTTTTTTAGGATTCTCTTTCTCTTGCTCTACCTGTGTAAGTAGACTGTGAACCTCCTTAACTTGCAGTAATCCGTGAGAAAATATTCCTGCTGGAAGTTTACTCTGGAAACCGTCCATGTGCGGCAAGCTATTTTCTTCATCTTCGGCTTGGCCATCATCAAATGTCAAAACTGTGGTGAATAAGCTGGTTCCGCTACAAGTTAAATATAACTACCTAGTTATATACTACTGATCTACATATTTATTCAAAACTCGCTAATATTCTAATAAACCTATTAAATCTTTTAAAAGTACTGTATTTATATTTAAAAAGAAACTAATTATTTTTCGGCAAAAACATTAAAACACTTAAAGAATTAATAAAGATTTAATAATTAATATAATTAATAACTTTAAAGGATATATATTTATAGAGCAATAATTAATTTTTTTATTTTAAATTTATATTTATAAAAAAAATCAACACTATGCATTCTGTTGAAATCCTAACATTTTTGTATTTGTTTTTATATTTCAAATGTCGAGAGAGGGAGAGAGAGAGAGAGAGAGCTGATAGGGAAGATTCGAACCAAAAAAATCATAGATATAGGGAAGATTCGAACCAAAAACGTGGTCATTACCGACACGATCGTGGACATTGGTTACATAGTTCAATGTCCACGTTTTGTGGACATAGAGACGCTTCAAAATAAAGTTGTAGCTAAATCCCGGGCATGGCCGCTTTCAGCTTCTCTCTGATAAAACATATGGCCCGAAAATAAAAAATACCAATTGAACAGTAGAAAACTTTTTTCGATTAATTATGATCTCGTGATTATTTTTATATATTAGACAACTTTTTGTCAGGAACAAGTTATATTCTGCAAAAAATTGCTTGCTAATATTTTATTCGTATAAACGCATTTTGCATTCACCGGCAGTTCTTCATCGCCGCAATCGCTGTTTGCTCCGTGTTGCTTGCGATGGCGACGTTACTCGGTTTTTCAAGATTACTTAATTATGCAGCGAATAATTGTTTGAGAAGAATGGCACCGACCGTAATTTGCAAACAATATTATCCTGGTATGTAATTACAAATTATAATTGTGCGGAAACTATGCATCAGTAATATAACCTCTCTCTCTTGATTGCAAACATAACCTCCTTTCTACTATAGCTACACTTCCAAAAATTTCATTTTTAAAAATTAATCAATTAAACTAATTACAATAATAAACGGGCAAGTGACAGTCAAATCCGCAAGTTAAAATGAGTCGAAACGTTTCGATTCATGTAAGATATATTCAATGAATATTGTAAATATATTATAATTTGTTATGCAAATTTTTAACTTGCAGGTTTGATTGTCACTTGCCCGTTTATTATTGTAATTAATTTAATTGATTAAGTTTTAAATCTTGAGATTTCGATAATTTGTTTTACTGTTTATTTTTAAAGATTGATAAAATAATATCGACGTTTTATTATATATTAAAATTTTACAAAACTTTAATGAAAAGTTTACAAAACTTAAAGAATTTTATGATATTCTGAAGTACCTGAAATCACTGACAAGGTTTTAAAAGATATTGAGCTTTCATTAAAAATTAAAATTTTATGATAAACCTATTAATGTAATTTTATCAGGAATTGTATTTGGAAAGACAAAGATATGAAATAATCCAAGTAAGACTTTGCATAGTATAAGAAAGATATTGAGAAATAATCTTTTATTTCAGCATTAAGATTGTCGGAAATACCAATAGCAGAATATCGAACGGCTAAACTACCATGGATGAGACAAATCCCAGATTATCAAACGGAAATACAGGAATGGAATGAAGAGAGGGAGAAAATATGCACTGGTTATTAATTTATTCTATAAGCATGTATAAATGTTCCATTTTTATGAATAAGTTCTAAACTTATAACAAATAACATCTTGTTTACAGATGTGACAAATGAAATCAACAATCAGATTGCAATGGATAATACTGGTCGTATGTTCGCAATTGTTCAAGTATGTGGGAAACAGTTTAAGGTAACGGAACACGATATTATAATTATTGAGGGATTTTGGCCACCGAATATAGGCGATCGACTGAAACTGGAGAAAGTGTTGCTGGTCGGCAGTAAAGACTTCACCCTTATAGGCAGACCAATTTTAAATAGAGAATTGGTTTCGATCGATGCAACAGTTATAGAAAAAACTCTATCTCATACAAAAACTCGCTTTAGGTTCCGACCGAGGAAACAGTATCGCCGTATAAATTGTAAGATACTTTCAAGGAAATATTAGTTTCGCTCTTCATGTCTTTGTATTAATGTGTTTACCGTTCTGTTTTTCAGTCTACAGAATACAACACACAATGTTACGGATTAATTCCATAAGTATAAACGGAAACATCAACGAGAAGAAAGAAGTTGAGGGATTAGACAGAGTTTATTAACAGTATGACACATGTATGTATATATGAGTATGTTTCATTTTATGTAAATTGCACATAAAATATTGTTTTATCCTCGTTTAACATTCGTCAAACAAGAATAAAAAATTATTATTATTACGTGTCTCATAAAACGGAATGCACCTTATATGTTAAATTTGACGTTTACCTGTATATATATATATATATATATATATATATATGTCAATAAATATTTGCAACATACGTAAATATGATGCATTATCTTGTATTCAGAACAGAAGGTAAAAATTATTTATTTCAAATTGAATAAGATTGCATCGTGAGACGATTCGCTAAAAAATCCTGCAAATTTTTCAAAAAGTACAAATTAAATTTCCTGAATATAGCGCTCCAGAAATTACTTTTCATAATTAATCGCAATTAATCATAAAACTATAAATTGATCCTTAGTACACACGATTGGATCATTCGTATTCTGCGCATTTCTTTTCTTTGAAATACTATAAGCATCAAGTTATTACATTTATACATAGTATACCATTCATTACAATCTTTACGTTTTTTAATTTTTGTTATATATTTTTTTAAATACATCTTACAAATAATTTCTAAAAATGTTAAATTATATGTAAAAATCTCTTGATAATTTTTGTACTTATATAAGTTATATTTGTAAAAGTGATGTAAATTAACATCTGTTAATGATTGTATATAAAGAACCTGAAAATTTTATTACTAAGGATTAATTACATAGTTTATATTTTAATTTTATATATGATAATATTATATATATTATATATTTTTATATTTATTTTATTTATATTTTTTAGACATTCTACATTTGTGCGCTATGAAAGAATACTTAATTTTTATATCTTCTCTGTAATATCTTCATCTATTGTTGCACCAGACATAAAAGTATCACCTTCTATGTCTAATTTAAAAAGAATTTCTTCTGGTAAATCCTTTGGTGTAGATGAAAAACCTGAACAATCTTCGTCATGACATTTCTGATATATCTTTTTCGTGTTTAAATCTACAATCCAATATACGTTGTTGCTCTTATGATACCTACCAATGTTTTCACAGTATCTGTAAAATAATGTAAAAACTATCATTTACGATAGCAAGGTGGATATATATATATATATATGTATACAGAAAAATAAGAACTAATAACTGTTTTATCGTCGATTATAGTTATATTACCTGTTACCGTAAATTTCATATCTCAACGTTTTAGTTTTGTCAGAATATTTAGCAATGCGTATCTTGCCAGGATCGATCAGACTACGAATGTACTCGTCTATTTCAGGATATGGTGAATTCTGATCATCATTTTCGCGGATGGGTCGTATTGGTATGTTTGAATAAAGCTTAGCTTTTGTGTCGCTTCGATTAAAAAATTCAAGTAAAATTAAGTTTTGTTTGTTTGGAAAGTACGATATCAAGGAATCTAAAAAGATCCCCAACTCCTTCTCTCTGCATTTATTCACTGCATTATGCATGCAATCTGCAGAGACTGTTAGATATGATTGTTTTCCCCACTTAGTAGACAGATATATTCGAAAATGTCTATTCTTCGTATAGACACCATTGTCGACAAACAATTTTTCGCCGTGCTGTGTTTTCACAAGCATTTCCTCGAGGTCTGCTTTGTCAAAGTGATTTAAGATTCCATGCAATAGCATATCCGATTTCAAATAAAGTAAAATATCATTACATATAGTTTTGATAAACTTTCCAACGTGCGAATTGTCCTTAAAAGCCATATCCTTTATAGTAAAAATCACATGTCTGCTGAATTTTTTACTGGTCGTAGAATCCAATATTAAAAAGTTACTTCTATCGCATAACAGGTGATAGTGATTGAGTAAATACGCTCGTACGATATCTATCAGTGTTTTGGTCATGCGTGGTCCATTACAAAGTGGATTTAGTTCGATTTGGTATTCCAAGTCCAGATATAACCAACACGGTGAATCTTTTGGTATTATCTGCAATTTATAATTTCTTTAGTTATATACATACATGTATTTTTTATACATATATGTGGAGTAAGTGCTTTTGCAAACTAAGCTTCTTTTCAAATTCGAATCTCTTAACGATCTTTCGATTCTGGATATTACATTGAGGAATATTTACTGTTGATTAGATTGGAATTGAGTTAGTTGGAAGAGAAATCAGAATTACGTTTATTGTCATTAATTTGTACATTGAATGATTGAAGAGGATTCAAACTGAAATGTCAAAACGTCTGTAATTCTACGCAAATTTTATGTAATAATTAATTTCATTTCGGCACCAATAACCGCTATGACTTACATAGATAATTTCAGTGACTTGATTTATTCTTAGAAACAAAAATATATATTCGTTATTTAAGTTTCTTCTGTGTATGTGTGTGCATATACAAAACTTACTTAAACAACAAATATATTTAATCGTGATACTGTAAGTACGTAAGACTCAACCATAAATCTGCATGCTCAACTTGTGTATCTTTCATATCCAAAAAAATTTAAATATCTAAACGCTTTTCTTGTAAGTACAAATCGTAATCGCAAGTTTTACATGCTTACTTCGTACGAGCATCTCTCTTCTTGCGGTTTAATTTTATAGTACCACCAATAGACTTCTGGATGCGCTACAACGAATTTGCGACTGCCGTCGCTAGGTCGTTGATACACAAAGGTACATAATGTGTCTGTTTTTGTGCTGCGTTCAGCAGCCACGGCTAGAGCGTCAGCTTGTTTGTGAAATTCCCGCCAGTATTGGTTCGGGCCCAATATATGCGATGGCATGACCCGGTACGTTTTCACCCAATGAATCTTTGATCGGGATGGTGATTGTTTTTGTAACATCTTGCTGCCGTAAAATCTGCTTGTGCAAATCGGTTCCATCTCGATCGATGCTCGATGAAATCAGTGTCACTATTATCAACTATTATCAGTCAAACAATTTGCGTAATCACTGTCATTCTTTTGTGATGTAAACATACTGTAGGTTATTCTGTAACTACGCGAACAGCTGATCTAAACTGGTGTTTCCCGCCAATTTCATGTCAGCTGACAGTCGCTACGGTCGTTCTATAGACTTCTTTTTTCCTTCTTTCTTCTTTCTCTTTTTGGAGAGAAAAGGAAGAAAGGTGATCAGGTGCAAAAGTTCAGCCAAAAAGAATAGGTTTAATGATGACGAATTTTGCACACAAATCAATCAAAGGCGCGAGATTAAGGAGATTCTTGCGTTTACTGGCAAAAATAAAAATCGGAATGTAAGTTTATTGTAAGAAGAGAGTAACAGAAGCATAAAGGAAGCTTCTAAAAGGCTTCTAAAAGAAGCGTAAATATCTTTTTACATTTCGTTGTCTCAGTTTTTGTTTCTTGGCATAAGCTTTGTTTATGTTTTTGCCACCTCCTCTTACATTCGACTTTCAATTTTTATTTTCGCCAATAGGTTGCAATGTATTTAAATATATCTCTACCAATATGTGTTCCTTGCTGTGTAACGAGTTTGCTGTATCAATATAATAAAGTTAATTGTTATTAAAATTGAAAAATAATGGTATATCTGTGATTCATCTTTCAAAAAATCATATTTCTTGAACGAAACTCCATCTAAATCTATATTTTTGTATTGCTTGACTTGACATAAAATTACATCATCATATATTATACACATAATACATTCTAAAATTTTTTAGCCGTTTGAGAGCAATATTGTTTTCCTAAATCCTTCAAATTGATTTTAAAGATTTTTATATGTTTTTTTTCGTTACACTTGAAAACCATTGATGTCTACATTATCTGAAACGATATATGTATTAATTAAAAAGTAAAAGCGTTTTCGTTACGTTAACAAGTCCACTTTATTCGCTTTCACAATTTTACAAGACGGTGCAAGCGGTTATTAATTTGCAACCAAAACATTGAAGGCTTCTTTATTATCAAACAAAAATGTAAGCATCATTAAGTAGATAATTCAATAACTTAAGAACTCTCTGTCTCAGGAAAGATCAATCATATATACCTGCAGCAAAACTTATTTAAATCAACAGCGTTGGCTAAATATAATAAAAGTAAATTCTGTTCGAATGAGAAATTAGATCACGCATCGATCATTTCATCATCATGTCTGTTTACGCGAAAAACCGGTCATACGTGAAAGTCGACCTATAAGCAGACTATTCAAGTGGATTCGTGCACTGACGATTGTCGTTGTAGGAACGATCGATGTACTTTTCGATCATCCATTGTATGTAAATTCTTTTCAATTCCAATTGAAAATTAGACGACACTCATCCTCAATTCTCTTCTGCATCTTTCCAACTAACTCATTTCCTAATCTTTTGTGCTTATTGCTCAATCAGTGTACGCACGCAACTTTCTTTCCTGTACGTAGGTATTACCTTCTGAATTAATGATATTCGACGGCTCGTATATGGTATATGATATACGTGGTACGGTCTCGTGCTCTTCAACACCGAGACCCGACCAACGCGATCATGTTTCCTGATTCACATGTGGATAAAGAAACATGCAAATGGAAAAACAAGAATTCGTTACTTGAACTGCCTACTTATCTGTATGAAAAATGACGTGTGATATATGAATTGAAAAGTAAAAATATATTCAATGTGTCAACAAGGTCGCTTTATTCATATTTAATACAATAAAATTCCTGTTCGCAATTAACTAATCTGTAAAAGTGAACTTTAAGAGACGTGTTCCGTGTGAAGATTTCTTATATGAAGGATTCTGTCGGAAATTTTCATGGCTATAGAGCAGAATATACGTGTATACAATGAGGTATAAATATAAAAATATTATACACACACTATAAATATTATATACACATCTATACGTAGACAATATGGGCTCGTGTACCAAGAGGAAATACGATACTGGAGAGAGATCCACAGTTTCGGAATCATTTACCAGGCATAGCTAGTGCCGAAGCCGGTGAAAGCGGCGTGTACTACAGGGGAAGCCGTCTCGTACGAGTAAGGGGCGGCATAAGTCTTGGCGATCAATGGCGCGGCATGAGCGGAGTACGCGAGAGCCGGGGCTGCGGCGATCGGTGCGGCATGAGCGGAGTACGCGAGAGCCGGGGTGGCGGCGATCGGCGCGGCATGAGCGGAGTACGCGAGAGCCGGAGCGGCGGCATAGGACTTGGCTAGGAGCGGAGCAGCGAGAGCCGGGGCGGCGGCGATCGGCGCGGCATGAGCGGAGTACGCGAGAGCCGGAGCGGCGGCATAGGACTTGGCTAGGAGCGGAGCGGCGAGAGGAGCGGCGAGAGGAGCGGCGAGCGGGGTGGCGTAAGCGGCCTTAGCGATCAAGGGGGTTGCTGGCGCGGCGTACGTGGTGTATGCGGCGGTCTTGGCGATCAGCGGGGCCGGGGCGGCGTAGGTCTTGGCCAGGAGCGGGCTAGCGTAACTGTAGGCAGCGGGTGCGGCGTATGCCGTCTTCGCGGTCAAGATCGGCGCGGCGGCGGCGGCGGCCGCGTAGCCGTACGCGGATTTGGCGAGGAACGGGGCAGCGTACGTCGTCAAGGCCGGGGCGGCGGCGGCATAAGCGGTTTTGGCGATCACGGGCTGTGCGGCGATTAGGGGTTTGGCCAAAGCCGGCGCGGCATAGCTGTAGCCGATGGCGGGTTGCGCCAACAGGGCGTCGTTGCTCACGTGGCTGTTGCTCACTCGTACCGACGAGTGCGCGGAGTCCTCGGCGCGGCTGTACGAGGACACCACGTTCTGACCGGCGTAGCCCTTCTGCGTGGACTCCTGGCTGTAGCCGATGCTGCTGTGGTCTGCGGACAGCGTGCCAATGTCGTAGGCCGCTGGCCCGCCGGCACTCGCTACCGCAACGAAAGCTGCGAGCAATAAGAACTGCGAAACAATGGATTAGTCGTGGATACAATATGTATATATCAAAATTACGAGGGGGTGATTTAATACATATTTCTACACTGTTTTATAAATTTAGTTTTAAAGAAGTGTAAGATTAAGTCAAATGACGAAATAATAAGAATTTATTTGTTCGTGATCTATATATTCATATATATATATTTCACTTTACTAAAAATAAATTAATAGTTTATTTTTTCATTTCTATTTCACATGACTGTATTCGTAAAAATATGATAAATAGGAACGCATAATGCGGACTGTGCGAAATAGATCCTTTAATTAATCGTAATTAACTGTATATATCGAACTGCAGTTCTTTATACAAATTGTTGTTCCAATATTTTTTCCCCACGATGCTATCGTTAAAATTTGGAAATTTGCAATTTGTCACTTTTCGATCGTTACCACAAATGCTGAAATATCTTCCCGACAAAGTCGACGTGCTTACCTTGAATGCCATTTTGCTGGTCTGAGGTGGATTACTGGGTTTCTGCCGAAATGGTAGCTGTCGGCCACTATTTATACGCGGGTAAAGTTGTAGGGGGTTCAATCGAATTTTGGGTACCTACCTTGCTCGAGGTGATTGGGCATGGTCGATGGGAGAGGGAGATGTATATGGAACTTCTTTGTGGGATATCATTAAGAAAGGAGCATGCGAAAGGAGGCGCAAAGGAGAGGTAGAATGATCGCTCGAAGGGGAACACGAACGAACAACGGGCGTGGCTCCTCACGAAATTCAAATCCGGTGCTGTATGGGTTATTAGAGAATGTCGAGGGCGCACGATGCTTAACGCTAATTACTCTTCGTTCTCGATAGATTACGGCGATACAACGCATCCGACAAATATGCACAGTATTTGTAAATAACGTAAGCATATCTCGATAACATGATCGTGATGTTTGTACTTTCGATTTCATCGGTTATCCTTGCGCTTTTTCTTTGAATAAACATGTATTCATTTTGAATAAACATATCTGTAAAATCTGTAACGTTAGACACACCTCTCTTAAAAGATATATATTATACTTGCGTAACTAAATCCTGCGTGCACAAAAATGCTAGCATTTTTTCGTTTTATAAAATAGAGAGATTATATATCTTACGAAGTTACGTGAATCAATCTTGAATTTTTTTCAACGTAAAAGTCACAAACAAGTAACTATTTTCCTCTTAAGCTAGAATCATACAATGCACAATTTCTTAAATAATAAGCATGCTTGCTCCGATGCATGAAAATAGTTCTAATATATCTAATAGATTCTATTTTATATATATATATATATATATATATATATTAGAACTAATAATAGTTATAATATAATAAATCTGTTTGTCGTACGACTAATTTTTCAATCCTGTTAATTGGCTGCAGGACAAAGAGATCCGAGAAAAGAAAAGCTTGTCGTAGGACAAAAAAACGGATAAATATAATATTTATTTAGCCTAAAAGAGAGAGAAAGAGAGAGAGTAAAATCCTCAACGCTGCAAATGATTCGTTGACTAATCAGAAAAAAGAATTTTATGAATTGCTCAATACTTCAAAGCGATTGTAGCGTTAAGTGGTTCAACCTCTAGAATATACTCATACATCAAACCAGACATAGCAGTATGCATGTTTATTATTCAAGAAATCGTATAATTTCAGCTTTACATGCTTTAGCCTTGATTTACACGATGCTTTTTCAGTAACTAGCGCGCTAGTCTTCTAGTAAACTAGAAAACCAGTAGTTAAAACAATATAATTCTATAAATTATATTTTACCTGCTAGCTTTCCTCCAAAATTTCTAGAATTATATTCTTTATGCTTCTCTTCTAGCTAACAGATTAGCATGCTAGTTGCTAGTAAAAAACATCATGCAAATAAAATCTTACTCTATTTTAATTGTCTATAAATTACATACAAATTACATATATAAACACGCAATAACAGTATGTGTGTGAGATTAATCTAATTCGTTTGAAAAGAAGGAAATTAAGTGGTGCGATTCTTATGTATCATTTTGCAAGTCTCTTCTTACGTAATATATGATACATTTATATAAACTCACCATGATATTGTAGGACTTGCCAAGGACGCACTTTCTCCAAATTCCCATATCGGCATAAGCGGTGTCATATGTGTAACACATATAGTGGAGATACGTAACACTTTTTAGGTGCTCTCCTTATGCTATTATTATATAGATACAAAATTGGGTGTGGTCGCCCGTGGACAATTTTGCATCCTTGGGGAGAATAAATTTAAATTTAAATTCGAATGGAGAGAAAAAATTTCCGATGAACAAGAAAAGGATTACAAAATTTAATCGTCAAATTTATTTGACATTTGTGATAAACTAATTTACATACTTGATAAATATTTTGCATTTGTTGCAAATAATTTTCTATTTTTATATTTGCAAATGGAATTTACCATTATATATGACAGATGAAATTAGCATTCATAGCGAATTTTTTCTCTCCGTGTATATATTTTTATGAAAAACAACGGTTATACATTATAAAGATGTAAAATGATCGTCGCATTTATAAATTCGCTCCTTGTCTCGCCGATTTTAAGAATTGATTATTGAGTATATCTCAGTGAAATGAATAATGTGATTGGAAAATTTTAAATAAATTTACAGGAGAACTTAATCTCTCTTCTTCGCGTAAATACTCGGACAGTAAAATCAACGTGATTGTATCAGTTTAAAATCAATAAATGATAAATGATGAATGGAACGATAACAGATACGAAAGAAAATAAATGATCTCTATTTAATGTAGCACTTATAAATTACGCTTCATCGATTTTTAATATATGGGTAGAAGGCAGATAAACTATCATGTTGGAGAGAGTAATATTTTATGAGTATTATCTTCATACATAAGTTGTTACTCTTTATAAATGCTTATACGCAATTTGGACCTTCAATACTTCAAACGTAGGGCGTTTCAACATTTATGAAAGAGAGAGATATCGAATTATACAATGTTTAAATCAAAACTGCTGTTGCAATGCTTTCCCAATTTCTTTTCAAGAAATCATCTTAATAAATGTCCGAGATCTTCAAAGGTTCAATTAAGTTATTTATGAGAAATTAATGAAAGTCATACAAAATTTGTATGACACAAGACGTCGACATGATTGGCCCTTTGTTATAAAGTTGGTCACCACTGCGCTTTAAGTGATGGCGCTAGGTCACGGACAGGCATACCCCTTCACATAAGATGTCGAATTTTTTCCTTTGTAAAAGTACGCCACACGCGGAGATTACATTCGTCCGTCTTTCCGTCCGTGACCCAATATCACCCCAAATCCTTTATTTTTAATAAATATAACATCGACGACTCTTGACCTGTTATATCTAAAAATGTCATATATACAAAACAGTTCTTATTATTGACGTTTTTATTATTATATACAAGATGTCTCACTATACTATCATAATTTTTTTAAACGTACCCTTGAAGTAATTTAGAGAAAACCCTAATACAAAAATGTCGAGACTATAATATTTTTTTATTTAGTAGATATTAAAGTTTACTAATGCGTTGATATTTCGTGCGCTCAGGAATAATTACATGATAAGTGGTGTGTAAAGGTGCTACCATAAAGACTCTCTTAACAACGTCGAAATTATCATACAAATACGTAATATTATTAAGAACTTGTTTCTTTATAGGTTTTATACATTATATAATGTTTAATGTAATCAAAGAAAATGTTATTTCATCGGAAAATATTGTTCCAAATAATCGTATATTTTCACCAAAGAATATATATA